AGGAATTCAGAGGCAGTTTGTGTTACTATGTAGTGTGATGTGGGAAAGAGGAAAGAAAGGATAGTATCTCCAGGCAAATAAATAGCAAATTATATTTTAAAAGGTGATTTATGAGAAGAGTCCCCTTTAAGTTTTAATATCAAACTCTACAAAAGTAAGACAGGTTGAACACATTAATTTTTGCAGTTGCTCCGGTGTTCAGTTTTCCTTGATAACAAGAGTTATAAAAGAATATCAGACAGAAACATCCTCCAGTTCAGTACATTATGTACATAAAACCCATAAATGTTCTCCTGAATAAGGTCCCTGGGTCCAGGCTGAGCTCCCAGGGAGCATCCTAGGACTCCGTCCTGTCTCCCCTTGCCCAGGAGAAAGGCAGAACTGGGAAAAGCCCTGGGAAAGGCCTCCATGGTCACTTGGTTTTGCCAGGTCTCCCTGGCCAGTGACATTATTTGAAACACACATAGGGGCTGTGTCTTCATCCTGACTCGTCTTTTCCACCTCTTCCAGACCAAAAGAACATCCCGTGGCTCCGCTGTTGATTTGCATTACTGGATTGGCAAGGATTCATCTCAGGATGAGCAAGGTGCCGCGGCCCTGTACATCACCCAGCTGGACAATGCACTCAGGGGGAACCCCGTGCAGCACCGAGAAGTGCAGGGACATGAGTCTGAGACCTTCCAAAGCTATTTCCGCAATGGCATTATGTGAGTAGCGTGAAATACCCTGCAACGAGGTGGGTCACGGTCCCTGGGGTTCCCTCTGCTTTGCCGTATCTCAGAGCCATCAACATTTCAAATATCTGAAAAATAAGGATCAGCACTGAAGTTGGTCAATATTCAGAAGAAAAATTTCCTATTTTGAAAAAATTAGTTGGAAGCATTGAATCTGGAACCATGTCATTCCCTTCTACTGATCATTTTCTCAGATGGTTGCTTTAACTGCATCTTAACCTCCTTTTTGTTCACCATAGCATATTCCTTCCTCTCCTCCACACACTTCAGATTAATGTGCCCATTGAGGGCACTTCAGACTAATATCCACCTTCAGGAGATGTGCTGATTTGGCTGACACTGGGAGTAATACTCCTGTAGTGCAAGGAAAGTTTGACTCTGAATTCTGCCATCTAAAAGATACCTTCAAAAGCACGTAGGTTTAGAAGTCTATTTGGAAACCTATCTGCCTCTGAAATCAGTATGAGTTAGACTTCATCTTGGTCTAAACCACATCCCTAAGGTCAAACAGGAAGTCTGAGGCAGAATGAGAAATTAAAGCAGGCTCTTTTCACGCCTTGACTGGTGGACTAATCACTGGAGCATCCTGTGGATATGGTCAACTGGGCCAAACAAGTCTGAAGTACTTGTCAGACACCTGACCGTGTTTGCCAATCTCTTCCAAGATATGATAAAATACATATATGACCCACATGACAAAAACCTATAAAACTTTCAGCAATCATCTCTTTCCCACAAATGAAATTATATTGCATTAATTATTACTGTAAGATCTGAAGAATGAGCATTGGATCTGTTTTCTAAAATGGTCTAGGATATGTGGAAGTGGGTAAGACTTCAAAAACCATCAAAAAGGTTCCAGGACTTTCTTGGGGGACCACGTCCTCTCATGATGTGATTGTGTGTTCCTTGCAAAGTTGCACAGAAAGGAGGGGATGGCATCACACAGTCAGGCAATACAGTGCTAACAGCAGCTATTGCAAAGTGTGTGTTCAAGGATGGAAAGGCAACAAAATTAGTACATTAAGTTTGAGAGAAGGAAGGTGTCTTGCACCCCTTTACCATTTTGTTCTGCTTATGGCAACAATTTCGTATCTAAGCTACTTTTAATAGAATAACTATTTTGAATGAAACTAAATTTTAGCAACAAGTCTATTTTCTGCAAAACATGTTTCATTTTCTAATTGAATGTTTATGGAATATTTCAGTTCTGAGATGCCATTGCCATGTTTAATGGTATTTTCAGTTTGGTTGTTATGTTTCTGTTGCCCTCCCTGATCTGCCTGTTCATCTACACACTTTCTCCCAAGATGCACAGCAACAACACCCATAACAGGCAGATGGACACTGTGAGGAGTCATGGTCTGCCCAGGAACCACGAACAGTAGAGTGAGGCAATACAGCAGCATTTGATGTTCCATTTCTAGGCCTTTGAGATTGTATTGGCTCTAGATTTCTTTAGTCATCACCAAAAGCTTGAGATGTTCTCAGAGGATAGAGGGGAAGATGTCTTCTAACCAGCTCTAACTCTTTATCCCCTGCTACACAACAGCTACAAGAAGGGAGGAGTAGCCTCAGGATTTAAGCACGTGGAGACCAATATGTACAACATCAAGCGTCTTCTTCATGTCAAGGGGAAGAAGCATGTGACAGCCACAGAGGTAAGAAGAAGAGCCCTCTCTCCTTATGGATCATTTCTCCTTGTCTCTCCTCCTACACCCATTTTCAACCAGGTTTGCCTGCTAGATAGCTCACCTCTGCTCAAGGACCCCTAATACAAGAGGCTTTGGTACTATCATGAGAGAAACCGTTGGGTTCAGTAAATAGCTGAGTGCTAGAGAAACGAGCATGTCATTGCAGACCAGTTGTTACATCCCCAAGGGCAAGTTCTCAATGGCTGTGACTTGTCTCCTGCAGCTCTTCTTGTCCTCCTCAGTTTGCCAAACACTTTCATTTCCTGATGACAGGTAGCGCTTTCCTGGGACAGTTTCAATAAGGGTGATGTTTTCTTGCTGGACCTCGGGAAAGTGCTGATTCAGTGGAACGGACCCAGCTGCAGCATTGCTGAGAAATCCAGGGTGAGTACAGACAAAAGCCACATAGTCTACTGGTGGTGTTTTTTGGATGCCTGGGGGAAAAGAAAAATGAACCAGCGATCAATGTTTGCATAGTGAAAATCTCAGTAAAACCAGCAACACATAGATGAACACAGAAAATAATGGTAAATCTTCTATTTGCCCATCTGCTGGTATCAGAGGCCGAGGGAAGTGCTTTGCTTCAGTTCAGACCTGGCCTAAGCTTGGGTTTCACGCATGGCCATGGGCACATCACTAGCTCCGGCTCCAGAAAGGCATCCAGCTCCCTCTGGGGAGGTCCATCTCCATCCCTCCATGCCCTGTAATTTGCAAGACATAGGACTAAGAAGTCAGCAACGCCAGTAGGTTTAGCTGCAACAACTACCCCAGGGGTAGATGAATTTTAATTATTTTTTTTTTTTACAAGCATCACAGGGAATTCCAGCTTGATCAGTATGAGACAAGTAGGAATACATAACCCAGGTATTGATAGGTCTGATCTATAGCTCTTAAGGCACTTTGCAAAGGGGTCAGTAACCTTATTTTACTGATAGAGGAACCGAGATAGAGAGATGTAATAAAGGAAGATATATCAATGGGTCATCAGCAAAGCTGGTGGCCAAACTCATAGCCAGTCATTATACACATTAAAAGGCAGGTGGGTCTGCTCTTCACGTGGTTTTACCTGATGAGCTAGGAGAGGGAGAAGCTTCACAGGGAAGAGGATTTTGCAAGATACAATGGTGAGAGGAGAAGATCTAACAGAGAGTGAAGAAGAGACAAAGAAACCCTCAGGACACAGAGGAGGGGGAGCAGGTAGAGGGATGGCAGCTGTGAGGAACAGGCCGTGGTTCATCTCAGGCCTGGCAATCAAGCAGGTCATTTCCTAGGCCCCTTTCAAAGCTATTGCAGTAAGAGTCATGGAAAAAATAATTAAATGAAAAAAGGGAGATTTCAGCCTAATTAGTTGCTTGGCATTTCATGCTGCTTTTTTTCACAGAAACCATCCATGTTTTTCAAATACTTGAAACACTTAAATGTAAAATGTCACCACGGGGCACCCAGGGTCCTGCAGTTCTGCAGCATCCAGCCTCATTGTCCTCAGCACGCGTGCGTCTCTCTCCCAGACCATCTCACAAGATCATTGGACCTGCTTGTGTACAGTCACACATAGGCAACACCTGTTGTGCCCACCTCACGCCTGTGCCCTGCGGGAGCAAGGACCAGTAGTGACTGTAATAAGCAATATTTTGCTGAGAGTTAGTTAATAAGCAGGCATTATAGACACATGTCCTTTTTTAATAGCTAAATTTGGAGGACACTAGAACCTTCAGAGATCTGTGGTAATCTGGCTTGGACTGTTGGTGCTCAGTCATTGCTCTAGGTCTGAGGCTTGCTGAATTCATTGTCTGGATCAGGACTTACCCCCTGGTGATCCTTGTGCAGGGTCTCGCACTGGCTCGCAGCATCAGGGACAGTGAAAGAGGTGGTCGCGCTCAAATCGGCATTATTGACAACGAGAAAGACTCCCCGGACCTCATGCAGATCATGAAGATGGTGCTGGGTGAGAGGCGTGGGGAGCTCCGAGACGCCATCCCGGATGCGAAAGCAGACGAGCTGCAGAAAGCAAATGTCCGGCTCTACCAGTAAGTCCAAAGATGGGCTCCAAACCCTGACCCTTCTAACAGTGGGTGTTGTGAAGCCTGACTCTGCTTGGTGACTCTGTCTTTCAGTGTCTATGAGAAGGACAACGACCTGGTGGTACAGGAGATAGCTACCCGGCCCCTAACGCAGGATCTCCTCCAGCATGAGGTGAGAGAAAGCCATCAGCCCTTACAGCAAGAAAAGGGTGCTGTGGCTTGCTTTCTTTTCAGCTGAGCACTTGTTTCAGTGGGATACCCCATCTCCTGAAAATTGTCAGCCCTTCCATCCTTCGGGTTTATCAGGTGTCCTCTGAAAACAGGACAGATTAACCCCCACCTACACCCTCAGTGGCCAGAGGTAGGTGATGCGTTGAAGCTGCTCTAACGAGAGACGGCAAACTGACCCTCTCAGCCAGGCATGATATTAGCTTGGTAATCAGTCAGGAGCTGCAGGCCAGGAATAAATTTCAGATGGCTTTCTTAATACTTGATGTTCAGAGATAGCCCTCCATCTGCAGAATTCAGAGCAAATAAATACTCTGCTCACAAAATCGTGAAGCATATTTTCCTGCTGTAGCAAGTGGTTGGTCTCGTGACCCACCCTGGAAGGAGACTCCTTACAAACTCTCTGTCCAAAGGCTTTCAGAAAACAGAGGCTTTCCTAATATCCTTCTGGCTACAATTTGACAGAGAATTGCTCATCCTTAATTCTCTGCAGTGGAAACCGGTCTATTCCAAAACAATGTTGTGCTGCAAGGCTCCAGCTCTCTTATTCACACCGGTGTGAGCTTTGTTAAATCTCAGTCTCCTTTCACAGGCATACGAAGCTTTTGCTTTTCTTGTCAAATTTCAGTTTGAAAAATGAGAAGTCTTTGGTCACACAGTGGGTTGTCAATTTGGAGCATCAGCTCTCTGCGGTGGAGACAGGCCGCTTGGCAGCCATCTCATCCCCTTTGGGTTCAGGATCCTACCGCGTTCATAACCATGCAACACTTTTAGCTCCAGATCGGGGACACAAAATAGTCATGAAGAAGATGTCTAACTTGGACTTTTCCTGCTCCTTTAGTAACAGATTTGGCATAAATGAGCACCACCATCAGCAGTGCTGAAGCACAGCAGGCTGAGGGTGATATTTCGGCATACACTCTCCTGGAGCCTTTTGGAGATGGTGTTTCTGTTGGTTTGGGAACATCTCTCATGAGGTGGTAATGGTCAGTTTTAGCAGTGCCTAGGAAAAATACATATTTTAACTCATTACAGGCACCTGCCTGGGGCAGGTGTGCTCACAAAGTGAGCGTACTCATGAACTCCTGCATTGTAGGGTTGATGGTAGGTGTAGTTCATTTATGAACCACAGTAAATCCATCTTCTGTTGCCTCTGCTAATGGTTGCACCAGGGTTAGAGCTCTGCAAGGCAAGGAAATGAGCTAGATCTACATCTAATCTAAATCTTCAAGAAGAATCCAATCTGGGCAGGCTACGAATGAGGACCTTTGCCTGCGCACGCCTTTTTACGTCTGTTTTTTCTGTTTCACCTCAGGACTGCTACATTTTAGACCAAGGTGGTTTTAAGATTTACGTCTGGAGAGGAAAAGCCTCCAGCCTGGAAGAGAAAAAAGCAGCCTTCACTAGAGCTGTGGTGAGTTGTAATATAGTGCTAACAATGTTGTGGGAGGTTAACTAAGTGCTAATCTAGATCTGACCACTAATTACAATTAAGTGTAGGTCTTGAGGAGCTGGCCTGTGTAATAACAGAAAGAGAAGTTAAACATCTAAGGGAGGCGTGATGACGTAAACACAAAATTGTTAGTCACCAAATTGCACTAGACCTAAGACCTGCTACTAAAACTAGAAAGAAATTTGTTAAAGAAAATATAAAAGAAAACACTTTGTTACATAGTAAATGATGGGCTTCTGGGATTTGTTGATGCAAGAGATGGTGGAGGCAGAGAGTATCAGCAGGGATACTCTCTGTGTCGAGATGGGATTAGACAAATTCATGGTCAACAGGTCCATAAGCAGATATTAAAGGGACTCTTGTACCCTCTCTAACATCCGTTACCCAACATTGTGGATGCTGAGGAGAGTGAAGGGATCACACTGAAGGCAGCCACCAAGCTCATGTGTGCTCGCTAAACAGCGTCTCTTAATGCCACTATCCCAGGCAGCACCGACCACTGCTCTGACCGTGAAAGGCATCTTTTGTGTTCCAAACCAAGTGTCATACCTTGGGAAATTCAGTGGGGAACTCGATTACTTGGGCTCTCTGGAAAAGCCAGACGTTTTATATAGGTGCTACAGGCCTCAACCGCAAGTCCATTACAGGCAACAAGTCTTCTTCACAACACCAATGGGTCTGGGCCCAGGTCCTTTGTGTGAATTTGAAGATGGTACAGGGCTCTTCCACTGAATAGAAAGAGATCCGTTATTAACCACTATTAACTGAGATAGGTCAACCTGAGGCAAGACCAGGGCTCATGTTAAGGCAGAGCACACCATCATAGTGCCCTGGCACCTATGCTGCTCCTCCAGATGAGCTGAGCTGCCATGCAGTTATTTTCTGGCAGAGCATGCCTCAACACTTCCCTTTCCAAAAAAAATAGCTTAACAGGAGCCTGAGCAAGTAAGGCATTTAGCAGGTTTTTCGTTTTACAAGTTGGCATGTTGAAATGAATGCTACAAGGCAACTTAGCTTTTCATTCATGTATTCACTTATGTGAAGACCATAAACGGCCTCATCTTCAGTGAGATCTTACTTGGAGATACTGGACTTCAATGACCCCACCTTCGATAAGGTCTTACCTGGAGACACCCAGCTTCAATACCAATTGCACCTATTGTCTTGGAGAAGAAAAGCTTAGACAAACTTTGCCTTAAAACTTATCTTGCAGTCCTGTGTGCTCCTTTCAAAAGCTTAGCTCAGATGTTTTTTAGTAGGCAATCAGCTCTGCAAATTCTGGCCCTGAGCTACACATGTAGAACAAAAGATATCTCTTTCTTTCAATGTGGCAGGTGGGAGGGATGGGAAGACCATCTGCTCTGCTTTTCCCTGGGGGTAGTGTGTGGCTGCAGTATCTACAGCAGAAGATGAATGCTCAGAAGCCGACAATCAGGCTCTTTCCCTGAACCAGGGCTGTCAGTACCTCCAGGTCATCCTGGAGCCTGCTGAGATAAACATGAGAGCAGTTCCCAAAAACTGAGCAATGACTTTGGCATTGTGGCAGAACACAGGTGATTTTCTTCCTTCCAATTGTATCAAGCACCTCTGTTGAAGTACTCTTTTAACTCTATTGTTGCTCTATTGCAAAGAAATCATTTGGGTTTAGGAAAAAAAAAAAAAAATAATAAAGAAAAGAGATTTGTGAGACATCAGTCCCCTCAGAACACACATCATGCTCTGGGGTACTTAGCTGCCTCCATCCCATCACTACCCTGCAGTGCATGCTCTCTATCATGCTACAGGGAGGACAGTCTCCCTGTTTTAGAGAGGGACAAAAAGTTTGGAGAAAAGCAAAGAACTGAACTAGACTCTTGGGTCATGGGCACACCCCATCACTGCTCCCTCCACTCCTAGATCCATCACCAGAAGCCATCTATGGAGCTCTCTGAGACAGAGGAGGAGGCTTTTCATTAGACTCATTGAGTGAGATTTTCTTCAAGACTAAGGTGCCATGTAGAGATTTAGTTTAGGATGTGATCCAGGTGACCAGCCTGTACGGGCAGGGTTCAGTCTCCTAAACACAGAAACAAATATGGATACTACAGTGAGAACTTGAGAGCTTGTAGACACTTCCGTTTATAAGTCTGAATGCAAGTCTTGGAGTGAATCCTGCCCTTGGTCATGCCACTGTGGTCAGTGGGGGACGTTCACTCTTTGGCCTGGCTCAGGTCCACATCCCTCTTCTCATATCTGTAAAAAGCTCAATGTGTCCCCACTAATGTCCTTTTTCAACCCCACTAGGGTTTTATCCAAGCTAAAGGCTATCCTTCATCCACCAACATTGAAGTGATAAATGATGGAGCAGAGTCAGCCATGTTTAAACAGCTCTTCCAGAGGTGGACAGAAAAGGATGAAACGCAAGGGCTGGGCAAAGTCTACACTACTGGAAAAATTGGTAAGCATGTTTTCAGAGCCATGAATTGTCCTGGATTTGGCTTTCCTACCTGTGCTAAGCAACAGCTGAGGGAACTTCATTCACATGAACTGTGTCCTGTTATCAGCATCTTGAAAATCTAATGCACGTTCTTCTCATGCCTTGTATTTTCCACCTTCATCGGTAGATGCAAAGGATTGAGGAACTGAACAATGTTCAGAAATGCTGAGGCTTCTTATATGAACCAAATTGCCACTTATTGCAAATGTAAATGTTGGCAGAAGATCACTCTCATCTGAAAAATTGTATGCAAAAATTCACACTTGCAGAACTTCCTAATTTTCTTTATAAAGGGCTAATGCTGAACCCAATAAGGAAGTGTTGAACAACATTCTGCTTTCATTTACACTGGCATCCACCCAAGACCCTCCTGACGTCAATGGAATTATTCTGTATTTACACCGGTGTAAACAGTGCCTCAATTTATCACGTTGCTGAAATGAATATTGCCATGCATTAACCCCAAAGAGTAAACAATACCGCAGAGAGAGATCTTGCCAATGAATGATAGGATGGTGGCAGAGATGCTGAACATCTCCATCAATAATAGCTTGAGAGCCAC